ATAAAATGCTTAAAAGATAAGTAACTTAAAGGTTCTTCATGTATACTTTAGTTGTCTTTTCTTGTACTTTAAATAATTCCTCTTTTCTGATGAACCTATAGAACTAAGTGTTCCTTCTTACGTATTCATTTGTAGTACTGCAGAACATTTTTGGTAGTGTTATTTCCAGTGACATACATTATTATATAACATACAATATTATTGATGTGAAAGATTTGCCTTAAATTTGGATGATTTCATTATAACTTGGTTCCTGGAATCCAGATTTTCTGCTTTTTAAAGTTCTTTGTAGAGCAACTTTAGAAGTAGAGAAGTTCTGCTTGACAGAGGAGTACCTAAGGAGTATTCATTTTTGTCCAGATACCTTTGGCATGGCTAGACAGACTACTGTTAACAAGAAAAAACTAGAAAACCAAGTTTACTAATATATGCATGTGTCTTACCACTAACATTTCTTTTTTTTTTTTTTTTTGGGGGGGGGAGTACCAGGGATTGAACTCAGGGACACTTGACCACTGAGCCATATCTCCAGTCCTGTTTTGTATTTTATTTAGAGACAAAGTCTCATTGACTTACTTAGTGCCTCACTTTTGCAGAGGCTGACTTTGAACTTGAGATCCTCCTGCCTCAGCCTCCTGAGCTGCTAGGATTACAGGCATGAGCCACTGAGCCTGGCAACATTTCTTTCTTTGAAAAACTCTTAGGAAGCATTTTTAGGCTAAATTTAATATTTCACTGTAGGTGAATTATGAAAATCTTAGGATATTTACTCATTATGTTGAAAGTGATTTACTTCAAAAGTTAGTTCATTTTATAGAATATGATCTCTATGTCAGTAACATAGCTTATTTTTAAATATTGCTTATTTCTAAATATTTTTAGGAAAGTACAAAACAGCTGACTTGGAGATATGTAGAGTGCTCTACATTGTTTTCACCCAAGTCTATATATAAGTGTATTTTTTTCTTATAAATTGGATACTATATTGTTTTAGAAATTCCTTTTTAGAATTAGAAAAAATAAAATTTTTAAAGCCTGGATACTATAACTTATTATGCTATATTGTATAATAAAGAAATTGGAGCCATGTGATTTGAGAGATTATTCAGGATACACACAGAAGATTTAGGTTATACACTAGATTTCCATATTAATTACTTGGATGAGGAGATGTAAATTTTCTGTTAAGTGCAATAATCATCTTTTAGGTAATCAGAATAATAAATGAATATAAGTAACTTGCTACTTATACATGCCACATACACTTCCAGATACGCCAGATTAATTGATCTACCTACCTACCTACTTATATTTTGCTAGTGTTTTGTCATTTCCATAGTAAACTTCAGTGACTTAAAACAACATAGTTTTTTAATCTTACAGTTGTGTAATTGAGAAGTACAAAATGGCTCTCACTGAACTAAATATCTAAATGTTGATAGGGCTGTGTTTCTCTCTGGAGGCCCTCTGGGAGAAACTTCTTATTTCTTTCTGCTTCTAGAAGCTTCTTACATTCCTTGGCCAAAGGCCTCCTTCCTCCATGTTCAGATCCAATAATCTCATCATTATGATTTTGTTTTCATTATATATCTCCTTTCTGTCTTCTTCCTCCTCCTCCTACTTTTAAAGACCTTATAATTATATTGGGCCAACTGTATATTTCAGGATAATTCCTATTTTAAGGTTAGCTGATTAGTAACATTAATTCCATCTACAATTTACATTGCCGTGTAACCAGACATATTCACATATTCCAGGGATTAAGATACAAATGTCCTTGGAGACCATTTTGCCTACCATAAATATCAACTAAGAATGCTGAGATTACTGCTTATTTTAAGACAGTTTGGGTGTTTAAAACCCAAACTTTGTGAATCAGCCTTACATCAGCTAAAAATATAAAATAGAATGGAAGCAAACTTCAGAAATTAGTCAGCCATGTGAATACTTATATTAAATTCTATGTTTCTAATCATACTGAAATAATATTAGTGAGAAAAATCTTTATTTAATTTTAAGGCTTTTTTGTTTTTGTTATGTCATTTAATTTCTTAACTAATTTAATTACATGATAATGTTTAAATATACTTCACTTGCACTATTGTGCATATTTCTTTCTTTCTTTCTTTTGCTAGTTTCGATTTTATGTATGTTATTTATTTTATTTTTTGATAACTGGGGATSTAACTCAGGATCTAACTTTATCAATGAGCTACATCCCGGCCCTTTTAAATTTTTTATTTTGAGACATGGTGTGACTACATTGCTAAGGATTTTACTACATTGCTGAGGCTGACCTCAAACTTTGATCCTCCTGTCTTAGCCTCCTGAGTCACTTGGATTACAGGTGTGTACCACCATGCCTAGCCTGGATTTGAATTTTTGAAAAGCTTAAACTTTTAACTTCAAATACACTAAGATTAATTAAACTATGTCAAGATAAATAATAAACTTAACACATTATAGTGTTGGCTTATAAGTAGGACAAAATAATACAACACCTTTGGAGAAGATAAAATTAAAGTATAGATTGGAATTTTCTGAAATTCATACTGTTTTTTCAATTAGTAGGGCATACACCATCAATAAGGCTTATATATTTTGTCGTTGTATATAACATAGTTGTAAGAGTTGGTGCCAGTGAGTTAAGTTTCAGATTCTGTCTGTAGTTAACTACATCAAAGTTTTTTGTTTTTTGTTTCTGTGGTGCTGGGGATTGAACCCAGGGCCTTGTGCATACAAGGCAAGGACTCTACCAGCTGAGCTAGTCCCCCTGCCCAACATGAAAGTTTTTGATAACGGACTTTTTTTTTCATAATGGTGTCTGCAAGTATAAGCTATGTCATGAAAGAACCTAGGAAAATATTGTGATTCAGTCCATGCAAATTAACAGTATTCAATGCTGTAATCGAATGAGTTATCAAGTTTTTTTTCTTTTTATAACGGATGATATTAAAAATAGTGCCAACAAAAAGATTACATGTATGAAGGTATGTGTACCACAAATTCCTCATCAAAATTGTTTTTTCATTTTTTGAAAATGTAGGTATCATATTTAGTCAGCATCAGAATAAGTTTCCAAGTTTTATTTTATTTTTTTAATATTTATTCTTTAGTTATAGATGGACACAATATCTTTATTTTTATATGGTGCTGAGGATCGGACCAAGTGCTTCACGCATGCTAGGCGAGTGCTCTACCTCTGAGCCACAACCCCAACCCCTCCAAGTTTTATTTTCCATGGCTTTAATAAATCATTTATTTTATTGGTTTTGCACTTATCCCTACAATACTTCTTCACAATTTTAGAAGTAATTTCTGTATCTGATTTTTCCTTATATATAAAAGCATTTCTTTCTTAAAATTATTGCCATTTGACTTGGAAAGACCTACTTTATTATATCTTTTTTTTCTTTCATAATGTTGGAAGTTGAAGAGATTCTTGAACAAGCTGACTATCTGTACGAAAGTGGAGAAACAGAAAAACTTTATCAGTTGCTAACCCAATACAAAGAAAGGTAGGCATTATATGATAGGTATGGGTTTGAGGTTTCCTCAGAATTTTTGTTAATTAATGATCCTTGGTGCTTTAAATTTTGTGAATTATTGTAGCTTTTCTTCAGTAATATTTCTTAGAGTTTATAGTAATTACTCAAAACATGATATGTTGAGTTAGAAAAGATGGTTCTCTACTTATTCTAGAGGAATATTGAAATCTTTTTTGCCTTTTTATCCTGGACCTTACAAGATATCACTGAATATTTATCTCATATATCTATATTATATATTTCTCTTTTCTTTTAAAGTAATACCTTATTGGTATAAGATTTAAATGAATTCACTGGGATTTGAGATGATTATTGCCACCACTGAATAGAAACTATTTAGAGCACAGTTTTCCAAGGAGGAAAAAAAAAAAGACTCCTTCCTCAATTTCTAGTACTACATATTTAGTCATTTTACACTTTTTTTTTTTTTTTTTTGGAGAGTGGAGGTAGAGGAAGACTTTTCCCTGTAAAATAAGTCAAATAAGGCTAACTGAAATTTCCAGATAATCAATCTGCCTCATCTCCTAAGCTAAAAATACTGAATAATTTTCAGCTTTCGTAGATCCAAGAAAAGAACATTCTCCCCAAACCTGTCAATTTTACTTCCTAAGCATTTACAGAATCAACCTTCCCTTCTTCATTGTACACTCAGTAACCTGAAGTGGCTATTTAGGCATTGTATGGTCATTTTTAGTGGTAACTTGCTATTTTTTTTTTTTGTTTAAAAATGTATAAAGTAGGTGTAAGGGTAGACTTTTAACAAAAAGGTTTAAGATTAATTTTTAAAAAATTTTGTTCACTGTGGCTATTGTTAACTATTTCTTATTTTAAATAATTATATTTAAATAGCAGCTTTTCAAGGACTCCAGTACTTTTACTTAAAATAAGCCATGTATTATAGCAGGGCATTCTAACATGGGATTTATTTTGAGATTACAAAATATATTTACTCATTCATTAACGAATACCTACAGGTACGTGTGGGGTGCAAAGTTTTCTATTTGGGGCTACAGATTTGTTAGCATTTTTTTTTAAGTGCATGATCCTTTTACAAAGTTCATATATCTTGTGGTACCATCTGAGCCAGTTAGTGAATTATGTAAAGCACATTGCCAGTGAGGTAAAAAGCTTCAAATTACATATTGCGTTTTGTAGGGAAAATGATTAAAGAATTGAAAATCAAAAGTATTTTCTGAGGAAGTCAGTATTTTTGACATTATAGATGAATTAATATTTATGAATAAAACTAGACATTTTTATAGGAAGTTTTAGTAAATAAAGGTTTTAAAGAAAGAAAATAATAAATTTAGTGTTATTAAAAATGGCTTTTGATATCATATTGCTTGCTATATTCTAGCCAGGCTGAAAGACCATTTGTTAGTGATGTGACCTTTAGTAATTTTTAAGTGCATTAAAATGGTGGTTTTATATTTTACTTCAAATTAAGTGAAGATGCAGAGGTACTGTGGCGATTGGCTCGGGCATCACGTGATATTGCTCAGCTTAGCGGGACTTCAGAAGAGGAGAAAAAGCTTTATGTGTATGAAGCCCTAGAGTATGCAAAAAGAGCGCTAGAAAAAAATGAATCAAGTTTTGCTGCTCATAAGGTAAGTGGTTATCATGTAGGTGCATTGTTTATACTTATTAAATAAGTAGTGAAGACATTTATTTTTATCTATTTTGTAACTTTTTCAAAAAGAAGTACTTTTTAATGGTTTCTATCTTTTAGTATTTGTTGAGACTTGATTTATGGCCTGACCTGACATATCATTTATCATGTGTGTTTGAGAATATGATTCTGCTATTGTGTTGAATGTTTTCAAGATATATGTTAGTGTTCAAATTTTCTTTCTTTGCTGTTTTTCTGTCTAGTATTTCTATTCTCTTTTGGAAGTTGTTTGAAGTCTCCCAACTATTATAGTTGAATTGTCTTGAGTTTTTGCTTTATATATTTTGTTGTACTTTCTTGATAATGTCCTTTTTCTCCACTAACTTTTGTTATAAAATCTATTTTGTCTGGTATTTGTGTAGTCACTCCTGCTTTTTCTAGCACTGTCTTCCTAAAGCATCATTTTGTATTCTTTTACCTTCAGCCTATTTCTTTGAATCTGAAGTGTCCTGAAAAGTACATTGATTTATGTTTTTAATATGTTCTGCCAATTTCTGATATCTAATTAAGAGAGATTAAGCTATTTGTATGTAAAAAAAAAAATTGATGATGCCATTTTGCTATTTGTTTTTTATTTGTTGTGTCTTTTTGTTTCTCAGTTCTTCCCTTAGTATCCTTTTTGGATATTAAATAGATTTTCCTCTTTTGTTTTTCTTTCTTTTAGTGTACCATTTTAATTCCCTTTTGTTTTCTTTTATTGTATATTTTTAGTTATTTTCTTAGTGGTTGTCCTGAGAATTACTGTCATAGTTCATAATAATGTAGTCATTGGATGTCAATTTAATTTCAATATTATACAAAGCTTTGCTCTTATCTCTGCTTCTTCTTCCTTACTTTTACTCAATTGGTTTGCACCTTGATCTTGGACTTTCTAACCTCCATACTTGAAAAATAAATTCATAACTCTCTTCCTTCTTCTTCTCCCTACTTTCCTTCCTTCCTTACTTCCCTTTGTAATATTAGGGATTGAATCTAGGGTCTCATACATGCTAGTCAAGCACTTTACCACTGAGCTACATCCTCACCCCTTTTTTAAATCTAAGTTGTCCAGGCTGGCCTCAAACTGTGCCCATCTTGCCTCAGCCTCCCAACTACTTGTGATTACAGGTGTGCATCATCAGACCTGGCTAAATTTCTGTTGTTTAATTTACTCAACCTATACTATTTTGTTATGGTAATCCTTGCAGACTTTAGATAGGTGTTCATGATTTCTAGTAAAAAAATAAACTGTTAATCATACTTAGTACATGAGTCATACATGATGAGTCACTTCATTCTTGTTGCTTTCAGGATTCTTTTATTTTTAATAGAAGACAGAAGAATTGATTGTTGTGCCTTGATTATGATGTAACTACCTGTGGATCTCTGAATTTGTCTTATAGTTGAATTTTCAGATATTCTGTTTCTGTTCTCTACTGGGATCTATTGTGCATATTTAGATGTGCTTAATATTATCCCACAGTTCTCCGAGACTATATTAATTTTTCTTCATTCATTTTTTCCTTCTGTTGATTAGGCTGGATAATCTCAACTGACCTATCTTCACATTAGCTGATCTTTCCTTCTGCCTGTTTAACTCTCTTGAGCACTCTAGTGAGTTTTCATTTCAGTTACAGTACTTTTAACTTACATTTGTTTGGTTCTTTTCTATAATTTCATTTTATTCATTGTGTCTATTTAGTGAGATAGTGAGATTGTTTTCATATTTTCTTCAGTTCTTTTTCAGGTTGAAATTCAYAGAAAGTATGTCTAGGAAACTTGCCCATTCATTGTGATGTTAGCTATAGGCTTGTTTTATTATGTCCAGGGCATTTCTTCTGTAACAGATTTGTTCAGAGTTTGTAGCAGGAAGGAATGCTGAATTTTACAAATGTCTTTTCTGCATCTGTCAATGATATTTTTGTTCTTTTTGAAAAATATTTTTTAAGTTGTCAACAGGTCTTTATTTTATTTATTTATATGTGTTGCTGAGAATCGAACCCAGTGCCTCACACATGCTAGGCAAGCACTCTACTACTGAGCTACAATCCTAGCCTCTTCTTTTTGTTCTTAACTCTGCTGATGTGTGGTGTCACATTCATTGGTTTGTGTATATTGAACTGTTCTTGCATCCCTGGAATAAATCCCACTTTATCATGGGAAATAATCTTTTTAATATGCTAATGGATTTAATTTACTAGTGTTTTTTCCTTGAGGATTTTTGCACATGTGTCCATCCGGAATATTGGCCTATAACTTTTTTATGTTGTGTTCTTGTTTGGTATTGAGAGCTTGGTGCATAAAGTTTTTATATCTATGTAATATATGTATATATATAAAGACTACAAAGCAAAAATAATAATAATGACTGCATTAATATGTTAAGAGACACTGGATTTCACCATGGCAGACCCAGTATTGGCTTTCAACTTTAAAAGCCTGGTCTTAATTACCTATTCAGTCTCCCCCCTTCTCCCCCCCCAACTGCCAAGCAGGTTTCTCTCTATGCTGTGTTGCCTGAAGTTGTGTGAAGGATGACGACACAGGCACATCTTTCCTTTCTTCCTTCTTCAGTGCATCTTATTATTATGTTACAACCATGAACTATGGACTCTCACTTGGTTTCCCTAGCTCTTGTGAAGGTAGTTCTGTGCATCAATAGCTATTCAAATTGATATTTCTGTGGGCAGATGATCTCTGGAGGGTCTTCTTCCACTGCTATCTTGTTCTGCCTCTTATAGGTGATTTTTGGTTCTTTTCCTCTGATTCCTTCTTTTCTAGGATTCAGCTATACTTATATATGTTCACATAAAATTGTTCAAAAATTCACCAATTTGTTCTTTGTTTATTTGCTGCTTTTTTTTTTTCAACTTTATTGCCTCTCAGTGTTCCATTTGGGTTAGTTTTGTTTTCAAGTTCAATAATCTTTTCTAAAATGACTTATCTGATTTTAGTATCTTACTTTTACTTAGTCAACATTTTTGCCTTTCCTCCAGCTTCTTAATATATGAAACCAAGTTATAATAACTACTTTAATGTTTTGGTTTATCAGTTTTATCTTTTGTGTCATTTATGGGTCATTTTTCAATTTTTTTTCCCTCACTAGTCTTGTTTTCCTTCTTCTTTGAGGAATTTACTAGTAATTTTTGATTAATGCTTGGTGCCAGATATTGTGAATTTTACTTTGTTAGTGCTAAATATGTTTATATTGCTAAATATGTTCTCGAGGTGTATTCTGGAACATGCTTGTGTTATGCAGAAATAATTAGATCCTTTTAGATGTTGCCTTAAGGCTTGTTAGGTAGGACTAGAGCCTAAGAGAAACTATTATATTTGATCTATATTAATTTTTTCCACAACTGATATTCCCAGCCCTAAGGGAACCCTGGGCTTAGGGTTATGGTTGAATGTATAGGAAATGATTTTTGTGTGTGTGTGTGTGTGTGTGTGTGTGTGTGCGCGCGCGCGTGTGTTGCTGGGGATCGAACCCAGGGCCTTGTGCTAGGTATATATGCTTGACCACTGAGCTAGACACCCCCCCACCCCCTTGATAAGAAGTGATTTTATTCAGAGCCACACATGTGGGAAGAGGTTAAAGCACTGAGTTTGAAGTCCTGTGGGACACTTGTAGTCAACTCGATTTCTGCAACTGGATAACTATCAATTGTAACTATAGGGACAATATCAAAATTGACAATTGTGGCTGTTCCTGGTGTAACAATCCAGACGTTGGAGGAAAGACAAATCCCAAAAAGAGTATGACAAGATATACCAACAGTGATTCAATTACAAGTTTTTTTAAATGTATTACGCAGACCGTAGACATGATTCATTGTCTCCTCATTGTATTGGCAAATTTCTTAAATAATTCACTACTTTCTGTCTTGTATTATACTTTCCTAGACACATATCTAATCCCTCAAATCCTCTTTTCTTTGTGTATTCTACTATAGTTAATACAGTGCTCAATATATTTTTGTTAAATGAGAATGACCTTGAGGAATAAATTTTAATTTTTTTTTTATTGAATTGACTGTTAGAGAGTAGGATTCTCACACCTTTTTCTCCCCTACTTTCAGTGGTATGCAATCTGCATTAGTGATGTTGGAGATTATGAAGGCATCAAGGTTAAAATTGCAAATGCGTACATTATCAAGGAGCATTTTGAGGTACTGGCGAATTACTCAAGTTCATGAATTTAAAAAGTATTTTTCTGAATAGATTTACGTGTTATCAATTACATTATGTAGCAAACCATCTAAAACTGAATGTCCTAAAATTGGGTATTTATGAGTTACATACTCATATTTCCAGCTATGTGGGGAAGCTGAGGGATGAAATCACCTGAGCCTAAGCGAGGACCAGCCTAGGCAGACAACCAGACCCTATCTTGAAAGAAAGGGAGAAAGAAGAAAGAAAATTTAGTGGTCCAGAGCAATTGACAGTTTATTTCATAGAATTCTGTGATTTAAAAATTGWGTACTGTGGTGCTTCTGCCTTGCTTTAGTATGGCTAAGGTCATTTAGATGACAGTAGTCACCTGGAGCCTCAGCTGGGACTACAATGTAAGATGTCCTCTCATATTTGAGAGTGCCTGTCCACTTGTCTTTTTATCATGGTGTATCCTAAGCTTCTCTTTTTTTTTTTTTTGGTGGTGGTGCTGGGGATTGAACCCAGGGCCTTGTGCATACAAGGCAAGCACTCTACTAACTGAGCTATATCCTCAGCCCTAACTTAAGCTTCTTTATTGAATGGTAACTGGCTTTCAAGAATGAGCATTCCAACTGAAAGTTCCAGTGTACAAACTTATTAAATTTCTGTTTGCATTACACTTGACTTTTTGTCAACCTAAAACAAGTGACAGGGCCAAGCACAGTTTCTGAGGAACGGAACTAGTCACACAAGGTCCTGAATACCTGAAAGCATGATCTAATGTAATAGTCTACCACAACTGACATACCATTCTCAATGGTAAGCATTGTATTTAAAGATTATGCTCTATGTGTATATTATGCATGTATTTTAATAGTTTCCCTAAAGTTAATACACTTATTTTTAGTAAGCTTTTCCTTTGACAAAAATTATGTATGAGTTTGTATATTTCATAACATATACACAAGACTTGTTATCCTAAATAAATTTAATAAAGAATTTTAGCATATTAGTTTCTTTTGTGTTGTTGTAAATCACCTCAAAAAATACAAGAGAAAAACAAGGAATAGAAACAAAGGGATAGTGCTGGATATGCTATCTAATTGTTCTTTAGAATTTTATGGTTATAGTCTCAATTCCTAGTTTATATAACTACTAGTAAAAAGTAACATTGAACTGGATGGAGTCAGGAAACTTAGATTCTGGTTCAGGCATCAATAGTAGATATAGTTAATAATTTGCATTTTAGAATTTAATCATTTAATCATTTATTTGTTTGATATTTAATCATTTATTTGTTTGATATTTGAAGATATAATTGGCAGCAGGTTTCTCTTTTAGTGGTATGTAAGATAATGATGTAATTTACTATTTTGAATATTTAGTATTAAATACACTAATCTCAGTGGAATTAGATAAGTTATTTAATTACTTTCTGCCTCGGGACATAGAAATACATGATACAACTTTCAATGTAGGTAAAGAGAGACTGCAGAGAATATTTTAGGTAATACTTTTTATTTTATATTTACTGTTTTTTTCTTTTTCTTTTCTTTTCCTCTGATATTGGGATTGAACCCAGGGTTACTCTCCCACTGAGCTACATCCCTGACCCCCTTTTTTTGTATTTTGAGACAGGGTCTCTAAGTTCCTGAAGCTTGTGGTTCCTCCCTTAGCCTTTCATGTGGCTGGAATAACAAGCATGCACCATTGCACCCAGCATAATACTTTTAACTTTAAAAAATGAAAAAAGAAAATAGCAAAGGGATTGTAGGTTGTGTAGCTCAGTGGTAGGCCACTTAACCTAGTATGTGCAAGTTAATCAGGCCTTAGGAAAAAATGGGCTTGATTGTTTTGAGGCTTCATTAATGGTTTCTCTTCTGTGCTGTTATAAGCTTTGAATTCCATCTCCAGCACTGGGGACGMGGGGTGGGGGTGGCTTAAAAAAAAAAAAAGTGTGCGGGGAGGTAAAGATTTAAACAAACAAAAAACTAAAGGGCTGGAGATGTAGCTCAGTGGTAAAACGCCTGCCTAGAATGCATTGAGACTCTGGGTTCAGTCCCCAGTACCACAAAACCAATTAATGTTTTGTATAAACTCATATTTTAAAGTATGAAAAAGATAATATTTAGTTGTTTAGTATTCACATACTAAAATGATCATTTATACTACTTATTGCTATTTTGGATTCCATTATTATATCTAAAATAGCAAGAAAATAACATTTTTGGAGTTTTTGAAAGACACACTAATGGCAGGAAAAGATTATAAAATGATTTCTTAAAAATAGCTCCCCTCAACACCTCCCATAAGGGAATTAAATCCAAATGCCATAAGGCATGCATTGTGTGTGCTTATTTTTTCCCAGGCATCTAGAATGGCATTAGGAGAATGGAAAAAATAATTACTCATATCATGTTTTGTTTTAGGAATTAATTTTCTAACAGAACTCTAGTTGGGAAATGCTCTTAGAGAATAACTTATTTATAAATACTATAAAATAGTTTTGGTATTAATTATACCACTGTATTRAAGAAGTAAATATTAAGAAACTGTTGATTCTTACTCACATTACTAAAGGAAGGTTTCTGCCAAGTCATTGGTTTGCATTATTCTAGCAATTGGCTCCACTACTACTGCTGGATATTATATTATGAAAAGTGAAAACAGTGATAGTGTTGATAGAAGATATCACTGTACTAAACACCTCCTGTTACTTTACTGGCTAATTTAATTTTCACCACATCCCTATGAAAGGTGGTTTTTTTGTTTGTTTGTTTGTTGTGCTCTGTATCAAGCTCAGGGACTCTTGCATGGTAGGCAAGGAACAGCTCTACCACTTAGATATACCTACCCAGCCAGTTTGTTTTTTTATGAAAGAGAAAACCCAGCCACAGAATATAGAACTTGATGAAGTTAATCAGTTAGGCGTCATTTAGCAGTCTGACTTCTGAACCTCTACTCTTTTTTTTAAATATTTTTTTAAATTTATTTCTTAGTTTTAGGTGGACACATATCTTTATTTTATTTTTATGTGGTGCTGAGGATTGAACCCAGTGCCCCATGCATGCTAGGCGAGCACTCTACCACTGAGCCACAACCCCAGCCCCTGAAACTCTACTCTTAACCATTACAATTATTATCACCAAACCAAAAGTGAAAATGTAAGTTTATAGAAAAGCATGAACTAAGAAGTCTTAATTTTTTTTAAAAAGTCTTTATTTTAAAATTAGGTTCAATATTAATCTGTGAGGTTTTCAGCATAGTGGTGGCTAAAAAGTGGAATAATTTTTTTTAAGTTATTCTCTAGTTTATACTTTACAGTAATTGACATTGTAATAGACATTGGGAAGATTTTATCAATACATCATTAATATTATACATAATTATTCTGTTAATATATTTTATGAATAAATAATAATAAATTTTCCTCAAGGGAAGATAAACTCTGCATATAGGAAACATTCAAAATTATGTACTTTCAGTTCTTCTTTTTGAAAGGATGCTTTTTATTCAGTATTCATTTAGGATTTGCTATAAAAGGATGTCTTTATTATAATTATTTTTTTAATCTAGAAGAGGAAAAGCATTGAGAGCTGTAGATTATTACAATTTTTAGAATTAGATTAATTTGTATATTTTGTTGGTTTTCTCGTAATAGATCCTACTATCAGTTTATAAACCTTAAAAATAGTAACTTTAGTACAAGTCATTAATAGTGTATTAGAACACATTTTAATCATTTAAAGAATGAGGAGGGAGAAAGTGTTGACTAATAGAAGAATAAAAATACAGGGTTGCAGTTTTGTTTTTGTTTTTAAATCATGACTTCTTCAGTATAGTAAGGTGTTTACTGGTTTTTAGAAAACAAATATGGTTGATTTTCTCATTTCTTGATAGAAAGCAATTGAACTGAATCCTAAAGATGCCACCTCAGTTCACCTGATGGGTATTTGGTAAGCAATCTTTTTTAATGTTTCAGTGCTATTTACCACTATTGTAATTCATATTTAGCATATACAAAAACAAGATATAAAACATTTTAAAACATTCAGCAGAGTTCAGAATATTAAATCCATGTATTGTTAAAACAGACTAAATTTGATTATGATCATGTTAAACATTGCTATTCAAGTCACTTAGAAACATGTACTTAGACTAAAAATGATCTTAAAACTCTTTGTAGACCTCTAAATTCCCTTTCTTGGGAAAGACGATTCTTGGGAAATTCACTATGTTAAATGGTGATTGAATTAATCTTAACTACATTGTTATAGTAGGATACCTTAAGAGAGTCTTTGCATCTTCAAAATATCTTAATATAGTCTTGATTAATCTGGGAAACACTATAATCTTTCTTTCCATTTCAGTGTGATCTTGTGTCCAATATGGGTTATTATTTCACTGATATGAGGGTACACCAATATGTTAAATATTTGTTGGCTCTGGTATATAGCTGACATATATGGTATATAGAGTCTATAGAGATGACAGGTTAGCCACTGTTTCCTTTGGATATAGTGTGCAGAGTTAAATATTTGTTTTTATTATCAACTGAAAAGGTAGGGCTAGAGATGTTGCCCAGTGGTAGAGTGCTTGTCTGGCATGCATGAAGCCTGGGGTTTGATTCCCAACATGGGGGAAAAAAATTCTTTAAAAGGGATAACAATGTAAATAGTCCTATATCAGACTCTTCTAAAATAGAAGTAGATATTTTCCAGGATGAAGGACATATTAAACTACCAAGGATTAATGACAGAGGTACACTCACTTATTAAGCAAAGATGAGATATAGTCTCTGCCTCAAGAAATTTAGACCTTAGTCAAAGATCTAAATCTTCTCCCCGCCTCCACTTTTATCAGAAAGTTGTAAAGGTCAGTCATTTGCTTCACCCCTTTAAAAAAGGATTTAAATTGTTGGTTGTTATTGTTATTCATGCATATCATGTTTTGTCATTTTTCTTGGGTAAGTTTTTTAACTCCTTTGAATTTTCTTAATTTGTATAAAGGAGTAAGGATCCTGTCTCATTTGTTATAAGGAATAGATGAGAGAGGTAAACATTTAGCCTACTATCTGGAACAAAATGAATACTCAGTGGTAGTGATACATTGTACCATCATTACTTATACTATTGCTTACTTTTTATATTTAATTATAAAATATACCCTAATTAATGGATCAGGTCAATCCTAGATAATTTAGTATGAATATTAACCAACTAGATATCATGTAAAATACAAAATGATTAAAGGTACAATAAAATTTTTTTATAATACTGTTGATGTTTAGTTCTTTTTAAGTAAAAAAAAAATACAATTTGAATGTGTAATGCTATTTTATTTCCCTTAGGTGCTATACATTTGCTGAAATGCCTTGGTATCAAAGAAGAATTGCTAAAATGCTGTTTGCAACTCCTCCTAGTTCCACTTATGAGGAGGTAGTATGATGTCCTTTGTTAAGTTAGTACCTATTTCTTAACTAAAGCACCATTCTACAGTGTCCACACACATGGAGATCTTATTCAGTGAGGGACTTGAGCAAGTTTCTAAAGGCTTATACTTATTATTCATGACTGGTGAGTGCTTTTTTCCCCCTTTTAGGCAAGCAACTGATAATTCTGGTATATTGTCAGCTAAAATAGCTCATGGCTGAAATCTGCCTTGATTTTCTATTTGAAAGCTATACCATATAAAAGTCAAAAAATAGAAGAAATATAGCAGCTGTTACCTGGCTTGTATTCTGTACAACAGAGTCATTTAGGAAAATAGAGATCATGTTTGAATTGATAAGAATAATAATTATAACTTTTTATAAAAGAGTATGAAAGCCTCATATTCTATTTTCAAGGCCTTTTGCTTTTCCTGTTAAAATGTGAAAGGGATACTAGGTAAACATCCTTCTATTTTTGCTTTTGCTTGGTGCTAAGGATTGAACCTAGGAACTTGTGTGTGCTAAGTGGGTACTATACCCCTAAACTACATACACTCCCAGCCCTGTGAAAACATCTTGAGTTAAGCAAAAATTTCAGTATGAAGAAATAGGCAGTTGGAAAGTTCTTCTAGTACTTGTCTCTTAGGAGGTTGTTTTGGTTGTTATTTCATTTTTTTTGTTTGTTTTCTTTTTACTCTTGGGACCAAATTATAGTATAAATTTGTTRTAAAGAATATTTAAATGTATAGCTAGAATACAGCTGGGAAATATTATTACTAAAAAGAATACATTGTTAGGAAAAATATATACAGTCAGCTCTACTATAACAAATTTTTATGTTTCTAAGAAACAAAATGTCTTGGATAATGCATTATAGGTTTTTTGTCTTCGTTCTTTTTAGTTTTTTGAGACCAGGTCTCACTGTGATGCCTACGCTGGCCTTAAAATTGAGTTCCTCCTGCCTCAGCCTCCTACGTATGTAGAATTACAGGAGTATACCAGTGTGCTTGCCTTAAATAATGCACTGTAGAAATAGTAGTTTAAGTGGGACAAAAGGATTAGCAGAGAATTTCAGATTCACAGTGGGCTTTTTAAAAAAGTCACTGGGGGGCTGGAGTTGTGGCTCAGCAGTAGAGTGCTCGTCTCACACACGCGAGACCCTGGGTTCCATCCTCAGCACCACATAAAAAATAAATGAGTGAAATAAAGGTATTGTGCCCAACTACAACTAAAAAATAAATATTTTTTTTAAAAAGTCACTGGTATGGGATTTGGGAGTGTGGCTTAATGATAAACACATACCTAGCACAAGCAAGACCCCAGATTTTTCCCCAGCACCATAAAAACAAAATCCAAACAAACCAATTACACTGGTGAAACCTATTATTGCTCAGTACCTTCAGCTTTTGATTTTGAAATGGTTTTTACTAGAAGTCACTGGTAGGACTGCTAGGGTCAAAAGCCAAGTAACAATGATGGATTTTCTTCTGTGCATGATAATTTGGTCAAAATTCTCAAGAGCAACTATATTATTACTAGAAGTGGTCCACATATGCTAATTCTCTGATGATTTAATAGTATTGTGTTCAGTTTGTCTATGTTGATCTCACTGTTGAAGAATAAGATCGTTATGTTAAGGTAATTTACTTCCTGACTTATATTTAGTATAGGAATAGATTATTGAGAAAATGCTTTTTAAAAATATTTGGTCTACTTTAATCCTTTTTCTTTTCTTTTCTTTTCTTTTCTTTTCTTTTTTTTTTTTTTTTTTTTTTTGGACTTGTGGTTTTAACAGGCCTTGGGCTACTTTCATAGGGCAGAACAAGGTAACATTTTTTAATTTCACATTTTACTATAATTAAAATTGTATGAATGCTGAATATGTAATAGGGATTTTAAAAAGAAAGATAAGTTATTCATTCTGTTATACTATTTTTTGCACAAGACATAAAACAAATTTTAAAGTTTTTTTTGTTTGTTTGGTTTTGGTACAATGGATTGAACCCAGAGGCATTTAACCACTGAGCCCCCTCCCCAGCCCTTTTTATTTTTTATTTTGAGATGGTCTCACTAAGTTGCTGAGGCTGGCCTTGAACCTGGAATCCTTTTGCCTCAGCCCCTCAAGTCACTGAGATTACAGGCATTCGACGTTGCATACAGCCCTTTTTGCTTTTTTACTTCAAGATATCATCTTGCTAAATTGCTGAGGTTGGCCTATAATTTGTGATACTTCTGTCTGTCTTCTGAATTTCTGATATCACAGGTGTGCACTATAATGCCCGGCTAAATTTTTGAAGTCCTTAGTTAATGAAGCTCACCTGAAAAAGAAAATGTCACTACTGGGAGGGAAAAGGAAAGCACTATTTGTGGCTTCAGAACACTAGCTGCTTGCTACCTTCCAAACCACAGTGGTTTCTGACGTTGTTTCCTTGCCTCAAAGAACTCTAGAGGAAGTTTTGAAACAAGCTGTTCTGTTTTCAAGAGCCAGCTGACTTTGGGGTTGTCTTTTGGGGCCAGATGGGGAATAGTTTACAGACAATGTCTCAACTGAAGCTTCTGTTTCTATAAGCTATTGCTGGGTATTATACTGAGCCTTTTTATTTATTTTTTTTATTTCTGTGTATACTGTATTTTTGTAAGCATTTTGCAAAGTGATGTTGTTTGTGTGCAAGAAAAAACTGTTGGGCAATTTCTATTACAAGGATCTGATTTCATTTTGAAAGTCAGGTTTATCTTGAAATTTTTGTATTTTGGTTATGATTACTGGTTTGGGACATCTAATTTTCTCAAACAAAAAGAGAAAAATACCACTACTGAATTTAGAGCTGTAATTCAGGAATGGTTCTTAATGTAATTCAGCCTTCCTTTTGAGAGGATGCCTAGATAGGTTAAGTATTTTATTTGATATTATACAGTTAAATTAGACACACTTAAATGGGAATTCTGGTTTTAAACCAGGCTGATTTTGTTGAGTTGCAGAATATTCTTTGTGAAAAAGTGTTTCTTGTTTTTTTTATTTTGAAAAAATCACTAGCCTTACTGCTATAAGCCAATCCTACAAATTTATCCTTTTTAATACGAACAACATGAAAGTAAGGGATGTAAGTATAAGTTGACTATAAATACACTATAAAAAACAATGTAAATATATTTCTATAAAATTTGATCAGAAGATTCAGAAAACAGTGTTTRTTAAGTTTGAGATTCTACACATGTACTTGTTCAAATGTTTCATCATTATAGGTTTTTAAAAAACATTTTCTAAAAATTACATTTAAGGGGCTGGGGCATGTGGCTCAGTGGCAGAGTGATTGCCTAGCACGAGTGAGGCACTGGGTTCAATCCTCAACACCACATAAAAAAAAAATAAAATAAAGGTATTATATCTATTTACAACTAAAAAAAATTTTTTTAAATTACATTTGAAAATGTTAATTATCTCTGATTCTTACTTTTTCATTTGAAAATAATCAGGTCATCAATACAGTTGTTTTTGTTTTTGTTTTTTTTTATCCCAGTGTCTAACACATGCCAGGCAAGTGCTCTACTTCTGAGCCACAGCCCCAACCCCACAATTGTGAGTTTTTCAAAAGTATTTAAGCACTGTAATAAGTTTCTCAAATTTGGATTCCTGTACACTGATAATTCTTGTTCTCTTTTTAAAAAATATGTATTTTTAGTTGTTGATGGACCTTTATTTTATTAATTCATTTATATGGTGTGCTGAGAATTGAACCCAGTGCCTCACACATGCTAGGCAAGCACTCTACCACTGAGCCACAACCCCAGCCTAATTCTTCKTTTCTTCAAATTGAAAAAGTTATCACAAATTCCGTAAGCCAAGAACGCATTCCACTTTTTCTGTTAAAATCCTGTTCATCCTCCGAATCAGCTTAGGTATAATCTCTCAGATTAATTGCTTTTTTCCTTTGATTTTCTGTAGCACTTTGTTTTTGTGGTGCTAGGGATTGAACCCAGGGTCTTATGCTTGTGAGGCAAGGACACTACCAACTGAGCTATATCCTCAGCCCTTCTGTGTAGCACTTTGATCTTTAACTGGTAAAGCAGTTCTTCATTCTTACATAATGGGTTCATTTTTCACCTTTACATTGTAAATTCCAAAGGAAGAGAAACTTTCATCCTATTTCTATAGCTAAGTATAGCTGCCCGTCAGAAAAGGCTGATCAAATTTACATATCATGATTTCATTCACTGATTACTAAATGTCCTAAATATGTTATTTTCCATGTTCTAAGCATTTGGGAATATAGTAGGGAAAAGACATTTAAAAAGAAAATTGCTGTTATTATTATATGTCAGAAGCTTCAGCTTCTCATCTGAAAATGGAGATACCTACTTTATAAAATTGTTGTGAAAATGAGATATGGTCTGCAGTGTAGTACCTAGCGCATAGCAGACATTCAGTAAATCCTGATTATTTTACAGATACTTGTTTGAGATAGGAACAAGAGAATACTAGTTAGTCTAATCACTTATTGACCATAAAATTTTTATTAATTGTACCAAAAAATTAAACATTTAAAAGAAAAGCAAGACTATTTATCTTGACCTAAGTGTATTTTTTCTTCTTACATACAGTGGATCCAAACTTCTACAGCAAAAACTTGCTTCTTTTAGGAAAGACATACTTGAAATTAAAGAACAAAAAGCTTGCTGCTTTCTGGCTAATGAAAGCCAAGGACTATCCAGCACACACAGAGGAAGATAAGCAGGTAAAATAGCTCTAATGTAGTAGTAGTAAGGTAGATAGGTTTTCGTTGAGGCATTATTAAATAAGGGTGAATTAAGAACTTTAATTGTCTAAATGCAAACATTGTTGAAAATACAGTAGTATTCACTTCAAATGTGAATTTATTTACAGTATGTTTGTTTCTACATAGTAACTATTTAGGTACTATCACCAAATAAATGTTAGCGGTTGCTTTGTGCAATAAAGAATTACTATCTTTGACATACAGATCAAATACATTTTTACTACATAAAAGTCTAGGAATATGTACTAATGTGAAAGAATTCTCTGAAGTCTTACCAATCATTCCTGTCAAGAAATTTTATTCTTAAAATCATCTATCCCAGTTTTTAGAAACTCTTAGAAATGAGTCTACTTCAATTTCACATTCTCTAAGCCATACTGTTTGTTTATAATGTATTTTTCCATTCTAGGTACAAACAGAAGCTACTCAGTTGCTTACAGGTTTGTGAAAAGAAATGAGACCTTTCAGAGAAGAAAATACATGAAATACCCAATAAACTTCCTTTTATTTATAAAGATAATGTTAATCATGACTGTTTTATGACTTTTCAGTTCTTCTAATGTCGTGACCATTTTACAGAATAAACTTACAAAACTCTAGGTTTCTTCACAAATAACAAGGTAAAAGTAGTAATTGCCATATTGTCCTAAGAGTGGTAGCAATAAATTTCCATGGCTCAGAGATTATTTTGTATCTTAGGACATCAGAGATGTAAAATGGTATAAGATTTCTAAATACTAGGATGAGAAGGTATCAAGAAAAGAGTTTTGTGAAAGAGGTAGCATATAGGGGAGTAGATTTTCAAGTTGGATTTGATGTTCAGAGTTGCAATCTTACAGAGAAGGTGCACTAAAAGTCAAATGATTAGAATGTTTAGGGTTCTTGGTTTAAGGTAGTTAAGTGGTATATCTTGGAGCCAACCTGTGTAATAGCCATGTTCAGATTTTCTCAAACATCTTATACTTTGAAAATGCCTAAAAATGTACTTTTCAAAACCAATACCAAAGGCCGTACATTGCATTTGATTTGCTGCTTAGTTGCTTTTATTCTAGACCATTTCCCCAGTCTTTTTCTTCTCATAACATTGACGTTTTGGAGAAGACAATGCAGTTCTTATCAATGTTGGCTCAAATAGATTGACCCCATTGGCCTCACTTTGAAAACTACTGTTCATTCTTATCTTAGGGACTCCATTTAATAATATATATTTTTCAGTCATTACCTGATTTTTATATTCATCCTGATTTTTAATTTTTGTTTCATTTTCTTAGCTCTTTTCATATCCCTATATTTTGATTTTATATATTCTTCAGACACTTTATATTTTTCACTTCTGAGATGCTTTTTGTATTTTTTTTCAGTTTTTCCCAGTTTTAATCCACAGTCATTTCACATCTTCATGTTTGTCCAGTTCTGAGTTTTTAAATTTCTAATTCAGGTTTTTCCCCCCCTAATGGCAACTCAATTCATATTAACATATGGTGTTAATTTTAACATTAATTAATTAATTAATATGGTGTTAATTTTAAAATTAATTAGAATTTTTTCTCCCTTCCATCTTTTTTTCCAGAGCTGGGGTCCTCATACTTGCTAATTATTTTTTCAATTTTCTCAATGACTTTGGATGCATTTTTCTAGGAGCATGTGTGTGTATTTGTTAACAGCGATACTAGGAATTTGGGAGGGTTTGGGATAGTACAAGAATAACTGGGTAGAGTGTAGCTAATGGTAGAGCATGTATTTATCATGAACAAGACCCTGGGTTATTCCCTCCAGTGCACGCACACACACACACACCTGCAATAAGTTGTTTTGTGAAATGGGGTATCTTTAACAAAGCCTTTTATGGATGGGAGCATATATATTCTGATACTTGATACAGCTTTCAAATAGATTTTTATTTTGAAAGAATTAATAAATTCATAATAGTACAAAGGAGACCTATGTACTCTTCTTCCAGTGGTATAGTTAAGATCCACTGTAGTTATAGATCTTAAATAACTCTACCACCAAACTAGGAAATTGACATTGGTACAATCCACAGACCTTGTTCAGATTTTACTTGTCAAAGAATTACTTGTATGTATAGTTTAAGAATGTTAAACAAATTGAATCACTGTATGGGACCTTTTGAGATTATCCTCTTCCACTCTTTTGAGATCCATCCGAGTTCTATCTGTAGTTTCTTTTTGGTGTCGATGCATATTTTATTATATGGATGTACCAGTTCATTTAACGACTCATTGAAGGACACTTAGGCTTTTTCCAGTTTTTAGGTATTAAAAATATAGCTATGAACATTACATGTAAGTTTTTTTTTTTTTTATCAACATTAATTTTATCTCCAGAGTGTGGTTGGTAGGTCCTTTAAGGAGCTTTTAACTTCCTTTTCCACATTACTTGAGAATAGCTTCCTTCTCTAAGATGTGATGCCTTTCCATATTTCTGATTCTGGGTACTTTCAAAGTTTTCCATTTGACTCCAGGATCCTGACTTTTTCTTGATGTTTCCTTATTCAGGGTGGAGTGAGACACTATGTCTGGAGTCCGTTACATTCTCTTTCCTGTGCATTCTCCACTTGAATATTCTTTTATGCATTCCAGAGATGAATATGCTGGTTTGAGAAGCTTATTTCTCCACATACTGGTTTACAGAATTTATAACCTCTCCTGTGATAACCTCTCCTATGTTTTTTTTTTTTCCTTCCTTTTGAGGATATGAGAAGAAACTTGAATTTAGAAAAATGTGGCCATGATATTGTAAGAACCTGAGACTCTCACTTCTTGACCAAGAAATTTTCCCAACTGAATTTCTAATTATGGACTGGGGACTAGCTATGAATGTTCTAAAATGACTTCTCAGATTCACTGATGTCACCTATAAAGCAAACATCATTAAAACAAAAATACCAATCTCATGTAGTTGTGAGAATTAAGATTATACTTTTCATCAAAGATTTATAATGAGTATTAGTAAGTACTTTTAAAAGTTTTCACCTGTATTTTCCTTGGTTGAGATGGGGGAGAGAAATTTTGGAATTCAGGACATGCCACTTTTGAACACTTTTGAGTTGGCCTCAAGCTTGGCTATGTTCAACAGACTAAGGGGGAAGTGTTCTAGAACTTTTATTTTCACAATCGTATACTTTAATAAATTTGCTTTATTTCTGAATTATCTAGAAGATCATTTTAGATTCAGTCAACTGTAAAGCCGAATTCGGTCAGCATTATTTTATTCAGCATTAACACAGGAACCACAACTGACCAGCAGGGCCATGTTGGGTCTCACCTGAGATGGTATTCTAATAATCTGTGTAGAATACCTACAAAAACTTTCTAAGAACCATCATCTCTCCAAATGATGGCTCAGGGTCCTCAAAAGGGACATGTACTTTCAAGAGTTCCACATGCAGGGAAGCACATATGTAGAACTTCCTATTTCATATCTAGAGTTCTATGAGTTATGGATGCAACTTAACAATTGAAGTAATTTTTAGTAGACTAAACTTACCTGGCAATATTGTTAACATATCACCATCCTATCTAGTTTTCAGGGTAAGAAGAGTTAGGCGGATAATTTAAGTCAGTACGGGTAAAGGTTAACGTTAGAAGGAAGTACAAAAAAAGTAAACATTGATTGATAGTTTCTTTCTTGGAAGACAGTTGACCTGATTGTTGGGATTGTGCTGGATCTGTGACTCATTTCTGGGTTCAGTTTATTAGTGGTGGAGGGAAATGCCACAAAAATGAAGTAACAATGTGAGATGGCCTCTGAACTCCCTCTTTCTCTCCCATTTCCTCTTAATTTCTTTCTGGTTGGTCCAGCTCAGAACAGATGATAAGGGAGGAGACAGGTAAGAGATGTAGGTCACAGTTTTGTGTTTTTTTTTTTTCCCATGACTATCACTAAGTAGATAAGTCAAGACAGTTTGTTTGTGAATCTGGTATCTATAATTGCCTCTAAAGGTCCTGCTGAGGTCTCCAAACTAGTCTTCTCCAGTGAGCTGGTTTGATCTCTGTAACCTTACCTGTTGTGTAGTTAATTCTCTCTCAGTGGAGCGGCTCCCTGAAACTAGCTGAATGCCACCTTCTTCAGTCAAATCTGCTAAATTATATTCTCAGATATCACTGCTGAATGGTAGTCAATAACTTCTTAGTTCATGTGGCAGTGCTACCATTGGTGTCTTTTTTCCGGAATGATTTAATAAGTCCTTTTGAGGGACTGGTCACCCTGTATTTCATAGCTTGTCATACATTAAATTTTTTTAGTATTTATTTTTTAGGTGTAGATGGGCTGCCTTTATTTTTTTGTGGTGCTGAGGATCAAACCCGGGTCCCGCCCGTGCTAGGCGAGCACTCTACCGCTGAGCTACAATCCCAGCCCCATTAATTTTTTTTTATAATTCTTTAGATTTGAAAAAAAAAAAACAGCATGTTTTTGGTTAGGATTTGGAAATGAGTCTTCAACTATGTGAGTCACTGCCTTTATTTCATCTTTACTGTGAATTCCTGAATTTAAAAAAAAGCAGAATATAAGCTAATATGTAGAAAAATAAAAATTTTGGCAAAACAAAAACTAGTATATAGTATATATGAAGTTAGACTGTATACTAGTGTTTCCCATATGCACTTATGGTGGAATATTTACAGGCAGCACATTCAAATAAGTCATTTCCCAATATTATAAAGTAATCTGAGTTAATGAACTTTCTGGTGCATACTGAAAGCATGATACAAATTGAAAATTTTTTGATTTTATTAGGAAGCCCAGTTTGCTAAAAGCAATATTAACATTGGATTTTGTATTTTTGTAGTTAAGTAAATATCCTCCTGAGTGAAAAGATTTTTACATGCTTATTGTAATTCAGATATAGAACTTTCATGAATTTGAGAGCAATGAAGATATTCAAACACTAATAAAAAATCATTATTCACCTATTTGAGTGTTTAAATGTTTATGTAACTTTTCAATGTTTATGTAACTTATTCAATGCCTCTGGTTTTACAAAACCAAAACTTTCAACACAAAAGTGCCAAAGTTCAAGTTACCTTTTTATATGTTCCTAAGTATCAAGCTGCATTAGTTTATTATTAAATTTGAACATCAAAGATTTATAAAACAGAAGTACGTAAGTGGCTGATTCTTTTAATTTCACAAATACCTAGCATCTCAAAGTAACATGTAAACAAATCTCTATGCTGCTCAATGAATTTTTTCCAATCTCTGTAACAAACTAAATGTTATTGGATCTAGTACGTGACTTCTATGTTAGTTATGATTTCACTCAATGTATTACTGATGTAAGCAAAGAGTGGAAATTTTTTCAACTATTGTATTTATTTTAAAACAAAGTGACAAGTTCAAGCACCTGTCTTCAAAAAAAGCCAGCAGCATTTTTTTATATACTCAAAGTAAGATTTGGCCTAAGCCCTTAATACCTTCCTGAACAGCCATGCAACTAAACACCCTCAGGAGATGTTACATAAGGGAGAACATGGAGCAATTTGCACTTTTT